TTAAACATTTGTCTGCACAGCCTAATTTGACAACACAAAAGGAATAAGTGAGGCCCACAAATAAACATGCCACAATGTGCCACATTTAAGCAAATATATATAATCTGCATAATTCATTCCAATTATGTACACTGTCAACTTTAATAAGTAATAACTCTATGTGCTACTTTGCTCTGATAAATCATATTGTATAAAATATCAAATACAGGATCTCAGATATTATGATCAACTTGTGCATAGGTTATCTTCATATAGGCATTTCCTACTTGTCCAAGAATTTTGGATGCTTGAATGTACAGATAACATGGGTAGAATTTGCAAATTTAAAAGTTCCTTGGGCCATTTCTGATTTTATTAAATGTGTTCCACAAATTAAAACAGATAGTTCAACTAACTGCAGCATTTTCTTCTGTTGACAATGTCTGTGGGTTTTAGTATCCTCAAAAAATAAATGGCACAACTCAGAAGCAATTCCTCCCACTGCGGAGTGGAACATGTAATTGCCCTCAGTGTAAATCATGGTTCTGCTTTGCTAGGAATTCGGTTTCAAGGCAGCTCATCTCACCAGCTTTCTAATCTGAACAAGTGGCAGCGTCATCCACTGAGGTAGTCCATTTGAACCCAGAAGCCCCAATATAGTATGACCCCCTCCTTGCCTCTGTGGAAGGATAATGCCCTAAAATAATGTTACATACAATTGCCAAGGTCATTTTTTTTCCTCTATAGTAATTTGTCAAAAGTACAGGTTGGCCATGTAGGCAGTTGCAGAGAAAAAGGGGGGGAGGGAGTTTAAATTCTTAGCATGTAATTTTTTCAAAAAGAGAAGGATTTTTTCTTATGTATGCCAGGAGATGCTGCTGGAATGAGAGGCAATTAGAAGAAATGTAAAACAGGGGAGGTGAGGGCTGAGCTAGTCAGAAGCTAAGAGGATCTACAGCCAGAGACAAGAACTGGGAACCTGTGGCACCTGAAGCCAAGGAAGGAATCTGCAAAACAGTCAGCAAAATGGAAAATGCAGCTCTGGACTGTAAATAGTGGACAGCAGATGCCAAGGATTCAGGGGCTGGATCCGTGGGTAAGTGTTTGTTAAAGAGAGATGCTGTTAGCATCCATAAATCTGTGCTTAATAGTATTGGGAGGAGGTAGAAATTAGCAGCTAAACGCAGGGCTTACAGAGGAAAGTAGTAGAAATTTAAGTCACAATTAGATTTATTATTGTATGCATTTACCGTATTTTTCAGAGTATAAGAAGCTCTAGACTATAAGACGCACCTACCTTTTTTGGTGAGGAAAACAAGAAAAAGAAATCTGCCTCTGCCTCCCAGCAATTTTCCTTCGTTGCAGCAAACAGCCTGCTTTACTTTCATTTTTTGTTTTCAGCATAGCTTGATTAGCACAAGAAAAAAAAAGTGATCCCAGCAATTTACCTTCTTGCAGCAAGCAGCAGAGGCCTGCGCAAAACATCTGAAAGCAAAATATCTGAGAGTCAGGAGGCCGATCCAATCAACTTGTGCTAATTAGGCTGTGCTGAAGCTGAAAGGAGATGTTTCTTCTTGCTGCTTGCTGCAAGGAGGTAAACTACTGGGAGGCAGAGGCCAAAGGGTGGGGGCCAGTGGGTGGGTGGGGCTACATAAGATGCACCCAAATTTTCACCCCATTTTAGGGGGGAAAAAGGTGAGTCTTATACTCTGAAAAATACGGTACATTTGGTTTGTACTTGTATGCCCACATATAAATATGTAGACACACATAATTGTTCATAACAATAATTCAGTAAAGATCTTGAACATAGACTTTGTAGTAAGCTTGTATAGAAATAAACATGTACACCCGGCCAGTATAGTTAGCTGGCCAAAGGAGGACACAGATGCTGCTGATGTGACTTGGATGTTCATCATACTGTACTCAGGTTTCCACCCCACGTTCAAAACCCAGAAATTATACACTAGCCAGAAAGAAGGTGGGTGCAGACTGATGAGTGTCAAAACCACTGCCTGAATGAAAGGCAAAGCATCTAGGAGTACCTCAGTAAGATGGCACACAGAGATGAGCTGCTGAGGGAATGCCTCAGGCAGCAGCAGACATAGGAGGAAGCTCAAGCAGACGAAGTGCAATGGCAAGACAAGACCCTGCATGGGTTGTATCATTGACAGATAACTGAGGTTGCTGACACTACATAATCCTATCAGTGGCTGTAAAGGGCTGGACCAGAGATGTCAAACTTGCAGCCTGCAGGATGGATGCATCATGCGCTGACCACGCCCATCCCCAGTTTAGCAAAGGGGAAAAAAATCATGATGTGTCTTGTTAAGATGACGCGACGACGTGAGTTTGACACCCCTGGGCTGGACTAAGGATTATAACACATTGTAAACTGCCCTTAGTCTCCGGAAAAGGCGGCATATAAATCAAACCAATCAATCAATGAATCAATCAGAGCCTTGGTAGTACAGCGGTCTAAAGCACCCTGTTATTAACACAGCTGCCTGCAATTACTGCAGGTTCGAATCTCGCCAGGCTCAAGGTTGACTCAGCCTTCCATCCTTTCTAAGGTAGGTTAAATGAGGATCCAGTTTGTGGGGGCAATAAGCTGACTTTGTATAAATATACAAAAGTATGAAGGCTATTGCTGAGCACATTGTAAGCCGCCCTGAGTCTCTGGAGAAGGGCGGCATATAAATCAAATTAAAAAAAAATTTTTTTTTTTAAATAGTTCCAACAGATCCCAGGCAACATAAAAGTTCTCTGTCTAGAAGAGTGCAGTAGTAGGAACAGCTATGATACTGTGCAGAACCTCAAACTCCCAAAGATTGAGGAGGACACATATCACCCATAGGGATGACAAGGAAATTTTTGTTTGCACACATGCACACAGTATACACATACATACACACACACACACATTCACACATGTTCTAAATATACTTTGTACTAAGCTTGCACAGCAATAAACAGAACTCTATACAAATGCCAACTGACTTGTTCTTAACCATTCCCACCCTCTGACAGCCATGATTAAAGCCTATTCCTCCACAAAAAAATTGCTGTCAGCAAAGATAGAACTAGGCACCCAACTGAGTTCAGGCTCAATTTAGTTTGATCTTTTCCTAACTTTTAGACTGGATCTTCTTTTTCTGTATCTGTAGATAAAGAGCTATCCAGTGTTCTGCATAGAATATGAATTTTTGTAAAATACAAAAACTTCTGCACTCTGCCTTGATTCATGGGTGACTGCATTTTGCCTTCCTTTCCTTTCCATACTGGAACCTGTGTCCTTGCTCTTTGCTCCCTTTTTCAATGAAATGGATCTGATGGAGATCACGTTCTATGATACTACAGCAACATGGTTCCGCACTTTTGGCAACTCCTTGAGATTTTTCATTCTCTCGTCAGCTCTTGCCTAATGGAAAGGATGGGAAATGGGAAACCACCCAATGAACTCAGAGAAAACAACTTCCAAGACAGGTGCTCAAACAGAGCGCTGGAAGAGGATGAGGCGGCCCTTTGACTTTCTGAAACTTGATAGCCATTCTTGTCTATTTGGGACAAAGCAGAGGTGGGTTTCAGCAGGTTCTGACCAGTTCTGGAGAACTGGTAGGGGAAATTTTGAGTAGTTCAGAGAACCGGTAGTAAAAATTCTCACTGGCCCCACCCCCATCTATTCTCTGCCTCCCAAGTCCCAGCTGATTGGGAGGAAATGGGGATTTTGCAGCAACCTTTCCCTGGATTGGGAAGGGAATGGAGATTTTACAGTATCCTTCCCCTGGAGTGGGGTGGGAATGGAGATTTTACAGTATCCTTTCCCTGCCACACCCACCAAGCCATGCCATGCCCACCAAGCCATGCCACGCCCACCAAGCCATGCCCACAGAACCGGTAGTAAAAAAATTTGAAATCCACTGGGACAAAGCTATGGTTTCCATTTCTACTATCTTCATGTCTTCCAATCTTTCACGGATTTTAGTTTGCAAACTTGAAATGCAAAGGCAATGAATCCAATGGGAGAAAATACTTAACTCTTTCCTCACTCACCATTTCCCCACACTACCTTCAACATTTTTTTTCTCCATTTCACTTCTAAAACTATGTTGACAGCATAATTAGCTGTCAAATCTTCACTGCTGGGGGGCAAAAACAAAACAAGTGACTGTGATTGTTGGTAAAGCTAGAGGAAACTGTGCTAATGGTCATACATATGTAGGAGATTGATGTACATAGCATTCTGCTGTTCAAAATGAAGTCCAAAGAAGCAGCCAGGAAGCCCACAATTGCTGAAGCAAAATGTATTCTCCTTGGAAACTATCTCAGCCTCCCTGGTTCCCAACCCTCCTTGTCAATGGGGTACAAAGGTTTTAACTTTGAAACATACTATTTTGAGTAGGAAATAGCTGTCTTGACTTCACTAGAAGCACTTCAATGCTGTTCTGACTATTTCAGAAGCTTTCTGAGATCAAAACAACATCTTTTTGGAACAGCATTCTAACACTTCTGGGAAGGTGGGAAAAAGCTGTTTTATGCTGAAAATATTTTTGATTTGAAACATTTTGTCCATTACTTCAAAGTTACCTGGAAGCTGTTTTCTACCTCCGAAATTACCTGTGCCAGTTTCCTTGAAGTTTTGCTCAGACCCCAGCAAGTGAAAGAATATGTACTTATTAGCGAAGTTGGGTATTTTAGTCATATTCACTGACCTTTCTATAGGGTCACAGTTTTTTAGATAGTGATGCATAAAATACTTCTTTTAAAATGAGTCAGACTAGCCTCCTGTGCTTCCTAATCCTCCTGTTCATTCTGATGAGTGAAGCCATTTACTTCTGGCCTTGAGGCATCAGCATTAAAGCTAGAATTACATGGGAGCATAGAGGGGATAGAATGATTAGGCACATGTTGGAGAGAACCATTGATAAAGGTTTTGAATTTCCTTCACAGTGTGAGCACATGCTGCAATGTTAATAAGGGATGCAGATAAACAACATGTTAACTTTCAATTATGTTCATACCTGTGACAACACTGGGGATTTTCGACAGAAAGCTCTTGACGGTACGAATGGGCACTCCACCTGTTTTGTCATCCTGCATTCTTGTAATGATATCTTCTATCTAGCAAATAAAACACAAATAGTATGTTAGTCTTGCAAATCAAGCGGCTTACTTTTACTAAGGTAAAACCTTAGTACTCATTTATTTAAAGGTTGAAATAACATTAAATTCACTCAGTTTCATTTGTTATCAGTCGCTCTCTGTGTCCACCATCTTCTCTTACTTATTTACCATCTTATAGCATGTCTAGCTTGCCTTAATCCTGAAGGACAGCAAAACAAAGGCTGAAAATTATAGAAAAATCCAAATAAAGCAATTCCCCAAATAATACAACACATTTTTATTAAACCATAATTAGTTTGAGCCAAGGGCATGAGAGAATGAGACTTTTTTGATCACCATAAAACGGAAACAGCTACTCACCTTGTCTACATCCCATGTGCCTTAAAAGGTCAGTGTAGGAAAGTTAAGGCTTTTTGGATAAAAATTTGGTGGGTCATGCAGAATGTTTTGAAGAAAAAAATTCAATTTTCTCCACAATTGTTTTTATTGGGTATAGTTAAGGGTTTTACTTCGGGTGAAACAAAGTTGATATTGTACATGATAACAGCTGCGAGACTATTGAAAGGTAAATATTGGAAGAATGAAGTTTTGCCCACGATCGAGGAATGGATTCTGAAGATGGCCAGTTTTGCAGAGATGGCGAAGATTTCAGCATTTTTAAAAGACTGTTCACAAGGTACTCATTGTTAATTGGCTCCAGGAGGTGTGATGAGTACCAAAAACAGTGCGTACCAAACACATTTTTCCCATAAAGAATAATATAGTGAATCACAAGATCCTGACACTAAGACGTTCTAACTTGTGCATTGAATATTAAATGATGCGTACCAGGACAAATTTTTTATGTCAAAAATGCATTGAATACCAATTTGAGGAGTTTCAAAGCAGTTGAGTACAAGGTAGCACTGTATCCTATTATTGGTACATGTTATTCTGCACTGGTGAGATTGACCTACCAACATTTTAACCACTGTGCTTTGTGAAAGTGGTGGCTTCTCAGTATCTAAGGACAGACCTACACATAGCATGTTACACTAGACCTGCTGAGTGGTGATTAAGGTTCAACTAACTAAAGCACATCATCTCTTTTTGGCAGAGATACTAGATTAGTAAATCAGGAAAATGCATAAACATAGCAGTACGTAGAGCATGCCCTTCCTGCTAGATCAGATAGGATGGGCAGAGATGATTAGAGATAGTTGGTCCAATTAATTGTTTTAAAATCATTTAGTCATTCTGATTGGTTTGAATGGTTTCCTCTGCTTGAGCTGGGAGTTGAAAGCTACCTAGAGAAAAATAGTTGTTGGTGTAGGAATTCAATGTAATCACAAAGCAAGACATATGGAGTAGTACAGGGTACTCAAAGACAACTGCTCTAAAGAACTAAATATTCTATCTACAAAACCTAATTTGGCACTTTGCTGGGAGTTTCCACAATTACTTCTCAGTCTCTATGTAATGATTTCAGCTCACAGTAATCACATTTTACCACTGCCTTCTAGTAAGCATATAACTGAAACAGTGTCATTGCTCTGCTCCAAATGTTTTCTCTCGAGATATGTGGGAGATGATGACTCATTATTTCACAGCTCCACAGTACAGCATGTGCAAGCCTTATTACTTTCAGTAACTGTGGCATAACCACGAGTGTGTCTTTCTATACATAATCATACTGTAGATATGTATGATAACACATAATCATGTTGAATATAATTATTGGATATTATTATCGGCAGAAGAGAAAATCTACTTCCAGTCTCACAACCAATACACCCAATATGAAGGAATGGGAAGGAAGAGGGAAATATTTGAATAAAGCACAGAAATGTCTCTAGCTATTAAATAGTGACCAATTGGTTTTCTATTTCCACAAATTTATTCCTTGGAGGCAGGGAACACTGCTCTTTGTGGCTGCTGGTTGGGTGGCTGATGCCAGAGACCAGATTATGGATTCTTGTAATGTGTTTTAACATGCACAGAATTTTAAGAACCCAGTGCCATCCAGTCCCTTTAGACTAGGGGTGTCAAACCCTGGAAACAATGAAGGACTGGCCCATGGTGCCTCTGGCAGCAAAAATGGGCTCCCAAGCTCTGTTTTTGGCTGCGACAGCCTCCTGCAACCCTCTGCCAGCAAAAACAGAGCTCAGGAGGGCCTCCGGAGGTCCATTTTTGTTGGCAGAGGGTTGCAGGAGACCGTTGCACCCAAAAATGATGCTCAGGAGCCCATTTTCACTGGCAGAGCTCTCGGGCTGCCACAGGTGCCCCCAACTCGAGTGATGTTGATCTGGCCACGCCCACCCTGGCCACGCCCTCCCCGCCCTCCCCCAAGGTCAAACACAACCCTGTTGTGGCCCTCAATGTAATCAAGTTTGACATCCCTGCTTTAGACAGTGCCACTAATCCCTTATAACAAGCACGCTTCTTATGCCTAACACTTTATCCCTCCTCAGATGAAATATTTTCATCTATGTCACACGCGTAGTTACACATCATTTGATCCCTGATAGTGATCATTGGATCAATGGAAAAGTTGAATGTTCAGACTGAAGATGGCTAATGCTACCCAAGTTCGTTCGGTCTTTGTCTGTGTAAGTTCTGAAGGAAGGGAAACCAGATGTGGATTTGGAAATTCTACTACTTGCCATTATGAAATAAACATGCTTTCAGGTAAAGAACTAAAAAAGGTCTTTTCCATCTGCTTCTTCTTGATTACTATAGGCCTCATAAAAGAAATCCCATATTCCTAATCTCCTAATCTTCTTGTATACAACCAGGGGTGGGATTCAGACCGGTTTGGGCAAATCGGATGTTAATTTTAATCTGGTTTGATGAACTGGTTGTTGCAAGGACTGGCTGACCCTGCCCACCCCTCCCCTTTCCTCCCCTCCCCTCCCAGGAATCTCCACGCAGCCTGTTTTGGATGCCAGGAAAGTGCAGGGCCTGCATGAAGGCCCTGAGAGGGCAAAAATGGGCTTACCGGAAGTACCAGAAGTACCAGAAGTCCGGAAATGGGCCCATTTCCGGAGCCCAGAGGAGGCCATTTTTGCCCTCCCGGAGGCTCGACAAAAACTTCCAGAGTCCGGCGAGGGTGAAAATGCCCCCCCCTGTGGTGCAGGAGGCCAAGTAGGCCATGCCCACCATGGCCACGCCCACCCAGCAACCGGGCAGAGAACCGCTTGCTAAAATTTCTGAATCCCACCCCTGTACACAACCTTGAGTTTCTAACACTTAATCTAAAGAAGGCAGAGATGTATGTTTCATCTTCAACTAAGCATAATTTTTAGTGAGAGAAGAAAACTGACCTCGAGTTCAAAGAAATAGGAGAGTTTCTTTTTCAAGAGCATTTACATTTCTCTTATGCAACTAACAACATTAAATTTTAATGCTGATCTCATATGCAAATGCAAAGCAAACCAAAACAGCTGAGCCTGAGGACCAACAGCAGCAACCTGGGAGGGGGCATTCTTGATTGCTTAACCATCTTTGTCTGGTCTGGAAGCAGTCAAATAGAGCTTCCAAGGATAAGCTGACAGCTCAACTTGTTGCAGATTTAGAGTGCATAATTTAAGTAGATGAATCTTATTCGTCAGGAACATCTCAACCAAAGAGAAAGCCAATGAAAGAAATCCTTTTACATTTATTTACTCCTCTACGCGTTCTTCAACATAGGAATGTCACCGTTTAAAATAAAGGAATAAGAACTAGTAAGTTTCATTCTGTTGGTGTGGAAAAGAGAAATGGCTATCTATCCTGCTAGAGGTATTAATTTGTTTATTAAGGCAAATTTACTAAATTATTAAGAGTTACTGGTGTGTTGGTCACTGTGTTTATCTTGCTTAAGTTTAAGCAGTAATTGCACTATCACAGGTTGTACTTTTGCAACCTGTCAATGGAGGATAATATTTTATGTTTGTTTTAAAGTATACTCTAGTTCCCAGAAGCTTATGCCAAATTTGATATTTTTTATTATACTACAGATTCTTCGTTTTATTTCACTGGCTAGCATGCTGTCTCAGTAATTCATAAGAAAAGGGTTGAACCATAGGCAGTATTTGGAATTTTAACTGCGTGTTGTAGAGGCTGTCACAATTTGACAGAGCATTGGAAATTCTAGCCTGCCCTAATGGGTGCCTTAGTGAGTATGCCCAGTTACAAAATATCCATTTATCAGGATCCAAATGACACTTTTTCAAGCAAATAATGGAGTACAGATACTCATCCCATTCAATTTTCTCAGAATGCCTCTAGGTCTATATGGGAACCGGAGGCGTTCTTGAAAATTAAAATATTGCTAGAGGCGAACGCTGCTTTGCTTTATAACATATAAAAAACAAGTGCAAAAGGAAATCTGATGGGTACCACACTGGCTATTCCCTTAGGTAATTTTATTCATTGGTTTATTTAAAACACTTATATAGCCATCCATCTTATATAGCCACCCATCTGGGTATCTCCCAATTTTAAACAGTTAAAATAAATTTAAATTTATCAATTTAAAAATAGCATAATATCTATTTAAACCATAAAACCTTAAAAGGCTGGCACCAAAGTTAAACTTCCAATATCCTTGTTCAATCCTCTTATCCATCTCACCCTATCCCAGGGTGGGGTGGGTGGGGGGAACCAAGTCTTAAGTAATTTTTGGAAGGCTAGGTGAGTAGAGACCAGCTGAAGGGTTTTCCACAGAGCAGGAGCTGCCGCAGAAGAGATACACTCTCTAGCTCTCACCAGACGGCAATCTTTAATGGAAGGGTCTAGGGCAGTGTTGGCGAACCTTTTCGGCACCAAGTGTCAAAACGGGAGTGTACCCGTGCCAGAAACTGGAAGACCAGGTGGCCAGTGCGCATGTGCCAGAAACAGGAAGATCATCTTTCCGGCATGCACATGCACACTGGGTGGCTGCTCTTCTGGTTTCCGGCGCTCCGGAAATGTGTGAAGACCAGCTGGCTGATGCGCCAGACCCCGGAAGAGCAACGAGTGACGGCTCACATGCCCAG